AGTAGTAGTAGTAGTAGTAGTAGTAGTAGTAGGAGTAGCAGGAGTAGTAGTAGTAGTAGTAGTAGTGGGTGGTACTTATGCTAGGTGGTAGGTAGTTTGGTCGTACCTTGTTGTTGTGGTCGTGGTGGTGGTTTTGGTGATAGTTCTTGTGGTGGTGCTGGTGGTTGCTGTTGTCATCGTCATCGTCGTCGTCGTTCTGCGTTTTGCTCGTTTGCTCCGCAGCTCCGCTGTCCTCGCTGTTTGCTGGAGGGACTTGGAACGCCCCATTGCCGGCAGGAAGTTGATGAGCAAATGTTGAACGTGCAGAACAAGAATTCCTCCTACTTCGTGGAATGGTGGCTTGGGTTCTCCTTTTTGTTCTGAACGCTGCTGATGATCAGATTGGATCCATACCGTTCCGGTTTCCCCCCAAGAGTTCAACGTAAGCAAGCCACGAGAACCACCTTTTGTGACAGGGGCTGCTGGTATGACCAGCACCGGCGATGTATTGAGTTGATAGATTGCGTTTGAATTGGCAATGTGAAGAAGTAGTTGCATAACAGTTTTATCGTTGTTATCCGGTTGACAATGCGTCATATTATGTGTTGATGAGCAGGACAAAGTGATTATGGACTGCATGTGACCAGGATCATTCTATTATTTTTGCTAGAAAGAACCATGTGGAGCCGCCCGAAATGCACCCGCAGCATGGGTTTGGGTCTTGCAAGGGAGAAGTCTTCAGATTTTGTTGCAACGGGTGCGTGTAGTTCTTCCTAATGAGGAAGGTGTTTTGATTCTTCCGCAACACATAGGACTAGAGTTGTTTGATCAATGTGGAGTGTGGAAGCGAACGTGCGGACGCGTGTGGAAGCGAACGTGCGGACCAGGATCCCCAACAACATCAAAGCCTCGGTGTGCGACATCCCACCCAAGGGTTTGAAGATGGCGGTGGCCTTCGCTGGGAATTCCACAGCCATCCAGGAGAGGCAGTTGTGGATTTTTGTTTTAACGATTTCAACAACACAACATTGGGACACGTACATGATTTTGTTGTTTATGTTGTTTTTTCTGTTATGTTCTTAGATGGTGCATGGTTTGTGCTGAATTAATTAAACAATAGGTTCACCAGGTGTTTGTGATTTTTGTTTTTTTTCCGGGGGGATCGAATTGTTATTTTCAACGGATTTCAACGGTACTTTTATATAGTCTTCATGGGTTATTTGGGTTGCAAGTTGCAACCGCAAAATTGAAACGAACCAACAAATCGCACCACTAAATTTGTGAGCCATCAAATCCATCGGTTCCCCCCCAAAAGAAACCTTATTGTTTGTTGTTTATGAATTTGTGTTTTTTCATCGTCAGGAGATGTTCAAGCGCGTGGCAGAGTACTTCACAGCCACTTGATGAGATTAGCCAAAGAGACCTTTTGGGTGGACAAGTCAAGACCTGGGAATTGCGTGTTTTTTTTTTCCGTGATTGGTGTGCCGTTCTCCGATCACCGTGGTTGCGTCAAATCATGGAGATGTGTATTGATTTGCCAAGGGGTTGTAGGGCCTGACAACAATTTTACATCAGTCAGTAGCTCCTTCACAAACCCAGGGCCAGCTTCGTTACTAAGTTGCCAAGTAACTCTAACAACTCAGATCCCGGAACCTAAGCGACCAGTGTCGTGTTTGGTTGCCAAATTCATCCATTCAGTTTGACCCAGGACAGCCATTCCGGATCCCCGACACCGCCACAGGATGGACGGTTGACTCCGCCACCGAGGCCATGTTCCGGCGTAAGGCCTTCTTGCATTGGTACACCGGTGAGGGCATGGATGAGATGGAGTTCACCGAGGCCGAGTCCAACATGAACGACCTGGTCTCGGAATACCAGCAGTACCAGGAGAAGACGGGAACGTTCCACCCCAGAACCGTCGGTTTCGTCGATCTGATCAGTACCGGGTACGTACGATACCGTGCACACGTTTTTACGTCGGGAAACTGAGTAGTATACAGACGTGGTTGGTCTCAGCCTGTGGATGAAGCCCGTATGGTTTATCTGGAGTGGTTCGAGTAGATGAAGCCCATTGAACCAGGCAAAGGGACACAGCTTTTGTGTAGAACTGAAAAGGCCCACAAGAACTTTCATCGAACTTGGATGCAAAAAAATGGGTGTGTTGGATTTGGTACTTTGAGGACTGAACTCCAGTGGCAGGTTTAGAAAAGAGAAAACACATGGACGAACATCGGAATCTTTGCGAGGTCTCTGCACCAGCTGAGACTAGTCTTCCAAGGGACAAATCGACGGAACTGAGGCGTCAGGTCTTTTGGTTGGCCATTGCTTTGGTCCAATTGGTGTGATGTGTATGCTCTCAGTACTCACCCCCATGAGCTAAAAATACACAGCAAGATATGCCAGCCGCTTCTTGGACAAACCCATGTTGTCACTTGGAGAGTCGAAGTACTCGCAATCATGTGTCTTATCAACAGTAACAATGCAACTGCTAATATATATATATATAGTATACAACTCACCTTCCCGTGGAGAGAAGAAACCACCCTATGCGGCATCAACGTCAAATCTTAAAGTGTGAGGATGCAACGGCCGAAGAAGAGGGCGAGTTTGATGAGGAGGAAGGTGAATATGATGGATGAGGGAGTTCTGATGACAATCTCTCCAAGCAAGTGCATGAATCCTTTGTCTTGTATATTCTTGAGTGGGCCAACGTGGCTTGTGTTCGGTGCTTCCGTTTGACCAAGTGGACACGTGCATGTTAAACATCAGTCAGTGCAATTCTCACGAAATGACCACACAGTCTGGAGTCTGTAGAAAGTTGTTGTTTATCAATAAGATGCAATCAGAACTTGCTTGACGATGTGTGCTTCATGGACTCTGAACGGGGTGAAACAGCATGAACTGCCGGGACGCACTCGTGCAGATTGAGACGCCCGTTTCGCTGAGTTGAACATAAAACGGCCAGCTTGCTGGTCTTGAAGTTCTAAAATAAGTAGATCCCCACTTATTGGAAACCGTTTCTATTTTTTTTGTGGACCAAAGCCAATATGACTAACTGTGCAGTCGGTTCATCACTTGCGATCTATGTGCATCAAAGTCGGCGGAGCAGACATTTTACCATACTGGCAAGGCCAAAAGCACCGACGTCCGAGCCATATCCCACTGACAGAAAACCAGCCAAAGTCGGGCCTGTGATGCTTCATGGGAAGCTGCTTGGAGGGGCGGAGGGATCTAACGCATCCTGGAAGTCTCATTGCATGTACTCCAAAGTCTGTGGTGGCTTAGGGGTTCTGTTCATTTTTGATGGCCCTGCGGGATCGATAAAATGATCGTACATGACCTGTAGCTGTGGAGAGGAGGTCCATGACCAGCTACCACATCCCAAAAACTTGAGTTCTTGAAGGCTTGTCAAATGGGAAAGCCTTAGTCTTGGTGTCGGCTCCGTTTTCTCGAGACTCACTCATTGAGCGGTGACTCATATCGCTTCAAGGACCAACCAGAGAGCGGTGTTTTTTTGGTCACCGCTCAGTGAAGTAAAACACCCAGGGAGCCCTTGAGAAGAGAGCCTGGGTCACCAACCAGAGAGCCCTTGAGAAGAAAAGGGAAACCTTTCAGGACCGCTTTCTTCCGAAGACCACTGGAGATCTGTGGGCGTTTGGATTCAGAGACCGGTTTCTCCAAGAGTCTCATAGTTTGCTATCAGTGTTCGGAGACCGGAGATGGGTGGATTCAGAGAGGACTATAGTGGACTCGTGGACCTCTCGGAAAGAAGCACGATCCTGGGCCCGCGGAGTGGGATCGTCCGGGCTTTTGTACAAGTGAAGATGTGCGGAATCCATATGGACCCCTCCCCCTTCCCTGCTCCCCATGGATTTTGCACCGGAACCGTAGACAATCTGTTTGCGGATGGGTGGAGCCGGGCGTGGCGTTTGCAGAAAATCGGACGCTGCGGAACCGCGATGCGCTCGGGTGGCGCGGTGTGGTGCACATCTCGCCACTTCGGTCCGCGGAAGGGGGGCGGTTCGGTCCGCGGTCGACCGTGAGTTTAGGAAGTATAGACGTACAGAGTATAGACATCCACGTTTTTGAGTCGGCAAGGACGCTATGCTCAGTGGAGGCCATCGCTATTAGGTTGGAGGCCTTAGCTACTAGTTACTATAGTGGAAAAACAATTAAGATAGTACAACCTCCCAAACCTTTTTGAGATGGGACTGGGAATCGGATTTCACGGCGCCGGTTTTCTCGGTGTTTGGGCGAGTCATCCATCTGAAAAATGGACCTCTTCTGTGACACTGCAAGGCCACAAGGGGCACTGGTGTTGCTGTTCTGTGCAAGTCAGGTGGTTCAGAACCCTGACATGTGGATGAATGCATTGGGTCATGAATGCGAATGGGAAGAACCTGTGCCATGCCCTAAGGTTGTGAATGTGGTCGTGCCGGCGCCCGGCTGGAAAGCCCCAACAATTGATAGTCCACATCTGTGGAGCCTCTCTCATACTTAGAATACCACATGATCTCTACATGTTCGCCAGAGTCTAAACACCTCATGTCACCAACTCTATTCCTCATGCGGACGATTCATTCAAGATTTGGAAGAAGTACGCCCTATGGCACCAAACTGGTTCACATCAGTGTACAAACACCACTCACAGGTCTTCCCGGTGTCCAGGTGAGCCGAAAGACGTCAAGAAGACACTACAGAGTAGGAGCTTGATGTCCCAGGAGAGTATCACCAACAGTACCTTTTGTTTGCAGGAGCTTGGTATCTAGTAGCATTTGGATGCATGGGAATGTATAATGTATAATATTCAAGTTGTTGTATACTGTTTTATGTTTGACGTAATGATCAACTTGGTTGTTTGTGGGTCAAAACACAAGGCCGGCCAGGGGTTCCAGATCTTTTGATACTTAGTTCCCTTTACCCCCCCTTACATCCCTTTACCCTTTACTGTGCCGGAGGTGAACCCAGATTCGATTCTGGACCTGTCTCTGCCATTCTCGGGGCTACTTCTTTGGGGGATCCTGCAGGGTTTGCTGATGCCTCGGGTGATTTGGCTGGTGCCGGACATGTCGCACCGGCGGGGTCAGGCCTAGTGAGCCGCCAGTGTTGGGGTGATGGAACTGTCATGCGCGGCGAGTGGGTGATTGTTCGATGCATCTGGTAACGGTGGAGTGGTGCAATAATAGCCAAGTAAGTAGGGAATCAATCACTAGCCTCACTGCTGGGACATTATTATGGGATTACTTGCCAGCAACTTTGCCACCAGTCCCTCTACCACCAGGTGTCCTCGATTGTACATAGCACCAGCGCCCGAAAGGGTTGGCAGGCATCAACGAACTGTCGATATGGTGGAGCAACAAGACTGTCCATCGTAAAGCAACCTGGGAAAAGAAGTCGGCAGGGGTGTTCAGTGTTAGTCTCCCTTTGGGTCCTTGTAAAGCATACTTTATAGTCCCTAGAGATCCAGCCGTACCGTCTCAGAACAGTGTCTCCTTCTTCACCTGAGAAGGTACTTACTTGGATCCCTATAGGGAGTGATTGTTTGTTTCTTCCTGGATCCTCCCGGATTGCTCTACACGTCTCTCCCTCGGAATGTTTGCAATCACATACCGGGAGGTTGTTGCCATCAAGTTCCACAAGCAGGTTCAGATAAGTCGAGAAGTCAGAGGTATGCAAAGCACTTGTTTCCATCAAAGATAAACAAAGAACACCTGCAACCAATGAGTCTCGATACGCTACTTTATCCTTCTATATTATATATCATAGTTATCCGTATGATAGATATGATAGTCCTTATGATATATTATATATAGCATATTCGTAATACATATAGTTGTATATATATATACAACAAAAACAAACATGCATATATGTTATGCAGTCTTTCTAATCCACAAATCTCCTGATCTTTGGTTTGATGTTTTGGGTTTTAGTCCGGCTCAAAACGACAGTTCGACGCCACTCTCTCGCCCGTTCGGCGCTGTTCATCGGGTGGGGGCCGATGCGGGTTCCGGGACCGTGCCGGGAAGCGTGGCGGCTCAGGCGGCTCACAGCGTACGTTTCTGATCACGTGAAGAACTTGTTTCGTAGATAATCGTATACTAGTATACTAGTAACTATTGTTCCACTGCACAAGCACACAAATGCAAAGCACACATATACAACTGTATAAAGTATATAACTATGTAGGTCAGCCTTTGCAAGGGGAAGGTAGCGGATGTTTCTGCATCAAACCGCAGAGCATAAGCTGAGTAGGACTTGATTGCGAGCTTTTGAGCTCAAAAGCACCTACGCAGGCCAATCCAGTTGTGTTTGATCCAATTGACTGTTTTTAGCAACACTGAAGAGGAGCCAGTTGCAGCCACGAGAACTTTTAACTTCATGTCCTTGTGCCACGCTGAAAAGGATCGGTAATGAATTTGCTGAGCTTTGTGGGGTCCTCTGCCCATGGATAGGTTTTGTAACTCATCCCATTGAACACAGCTCTTCTCTATTCGGAACTGGTGTGGGTGTTCTTACAAAGGGATACCTCCTTGGAATCGTGTTTTTTCAGCATTCTCGGTCGCTCTGAATTCAGATGTCGCCTCGGGATCTTTTTCACCCTGGTTTTGCTTAAGGTGATTTTTTAAGGTTCCCTATGGTTAAATCCCCTTCTGGAGAATATGTTGTACTTTTTACCAGGTTCCTGGACAGCAACTCCAAGTTACCCGGTGGTGGGTGGCCTCCTCGGCCATCCTGATGTGTGTGGATGAGAGTGGACAACCAATTAGCCATCCAGGGACATCCACTCATTCACTCCACTCGCAAGCGTGTGTGGATACAGTTCAGAACCGGCATCACGCAAAAAATTGAGACTTTTACTTGCAAGCGACCCAACATGTGGGGATATATGAGGATGTAATGTGTTTTTGTTCAGCTCACGAACTGGTCTTCTCCTGCCAGGAAGGGCAGGGAGGATGGCGTCGAGCATCAGCCGACAACCTAGCCCAATATTCTCCCCTGCATGTGTGTTAGTAGAATGTTTTAAGCTTTGAGTGCCTTAGTCGAAGCATTTATATCAAATGTACCGTAAGTATAGAAGAACAACAACCTATTTTCACACACAAAACAACCACCGACCAAAAATCCGAGGATTGTCATTGCGCTTAGCGCAGGCAATCAAAGATCCCACCCTCCAGGGCCAAGGTCCAAAGGTCCTCGGCTCGTGCCGCGAACTCCACCGTCCGCCCGTCCGGTGCGGTGTTTAGCTGGCGGCCCCGCTCCCGCGTGCCGGCGCGTGCAGGGAGTGAGAAGGAGAAGATTGATGTCCAAGGAAGGTATTAGAGGCCTACATCTTGCCCCCGAGTTGCACAGCACAATAGCAGGAAGGTATTCCTCCCTAAGAGACATATGAAATTTGAGTGACCAATGACATATATACAAGTGAGAGGTCCGTCTAACAATGTCTTGGACGGCTAAACCAACAAAGCATCATCACCACTTGAACCTTCAAGAATCTTGCCATGTAGCTTGTCCTCAGCGTCATACTCCTCGTTCAGTGGCAGCCGTGATCCCTGCCCTTCATGGCACTTTCTATTGCTTCCTCGTATCAATTGCCAGAGCATGCTAGAACCAAAAGAATCATTGGAAACCTGAGATTCTATCGCTGATCAACCCAACATGGACAAATCCTCCTTTGAGATTCTCGAAGCACCAAACACTTTGATCAATGAGAAGTGAAAAGCAAAAAGATCACATTGGGAACACGCCATGGCCGATGCCTATGGCCTCACGAGGCGCTTTTCTTGTTTCTCAGAGAGTTCTTTTGAGAAAAAGAGGTTTTGGTCCTAGAGTGGTTTTTTCTCGTGCAGTCACAGAAGCAAGACAGGCGAAGACAAAGACTTCCAGAAGATTGGCTTTTCAGTGAGGCTTTTGTTCAGGGAGAAATGAATAGTGGTCAGGTAAAGTGTATTCCTCAATTGAAATATATTGAAATTCTTATTCTGAAACAAGCCACTGTCCAGGTACCCCCAAAACTGACGGCTTATATAGTAGCGAAGCGACCTCTGGAGAACCCATCTTCCAACCGCGGCGGAGCGGCCGCATCCTGGATCGGGTGAGGACATGACATAAAGGTAAAGGAAGGGGATTGGACACTCGAAGATGGCTTTGAGCACGTCATGGTCGTTGCTTTAAATTATTCATAATAATGTAGACTTGTGATTAATAAACCCTCCAGGACCCTCCATATGAAGAGGTGTTTCAACTCAAATGGGGTGGTTTATTCATCATTAGTATGTGTGTTTCTCCCAGGTGTCCAGACGTCGCCGAGGCGGTCGCCGAGTCGCCATGGATGCACTCACAGAAAAAGATTGTGGATGTTTTTTTCCTTGCCCGAGCACCTTTCAATACTTTTCATGTGTCTAGAGCTTTGGACACTTTGGACAAACCATCAGGGGCCTCTTTTCAGAGTGGGAAAAACCTTCAGACCGAGTGCTCCGGCGACACTGAGTCCACATGATGGCCGCTCGACCGTTCGACATGTGTCCTCTTCATATGTGTGTTTCTTTCTTTTGTTTTTAAACGGTGATCTTTGATGTGTCATGGAGGTCTTTGTGATTGAATAAAGCATAATTAAAACGATACGTAAAATGACCTGATCGGTTCACTCTCGCAAGTTTGGCCAACAATGAAAGTTTCCAAATAAGTTCCATCATCAAACATCTAAGAACCTTTATTTTGTAACTAGTCATCCCACTACATCCTCTAGTGATCTACGGATCGATAAACGCGCTTCCAAATTGGAAAGGATCTGCTAACAGCTGGGCTTGCTTGAGGATATAGAAGAGGATCACGGATAGACTGGCTTTGGAGTTGGCCCCTGAGAAACCTTTTTGTTGAGCACTGTTTGAAAGACACAGACGTCGGGATGGCAGAACATTTAGCACAATCCCCAAGTCAAAGTTCAGCCCATGTATATAACTGTAATTACAATAGTAGTAAGGCGTAGCATACAGCGCTCCTTTCAACCAACCAACCAACCAACCAACCAACAGCCCAACCATCACCATCACGCACCCTGGGACCGTTGGGGAATCCCGCGGACCGCGTCGCCATCGACGCCTGCAGGTTTGCATCCACGTGGCCGGTGCGGGGCCCTGCCCGAAGGGGCTTCCCCAAGTTAGATGTGACAGGTCCGGGTACCTCCTGAGGATGGTCTTGGAGGTGAAAGTACCTCCTGAGGATGGTCTTTGGGGCCAAAGGACGTCCTCAGGATGGTCATGGACCCTTAAGGAAGGTCTTCAGCCCAAGGAATTTGAGGCTCGGAGTGAATCTGCCAGGAATTTGAGGCTTCTGATATTGGACATCTGCGGCACCTGTCTTGGCCCAATTGCTTTGGTTCAGTAGCCGATGTGCAGTGAAGGTGGCCGTTTTGGGGGGGCTCCCAAGACAGGAGTTTGGAGCTAGAGATCTAAACCACACGTCATGGACCCTTGAGAAAAAGCGTCATGGACCCTTGAGATGAGCCTAAACAATGGCTGTTTTGCAGAGATCGTTCTTGTCCCGGAACGCTGCCATTTTTCCAGGGCATGTCTCACATACAGACCCTCCGCTTGCTTGCACATGGTCGATGCCCTTGATATACATATATGTAATTATGCTTGTATATACCCTTGTATACCCTCACGGGTCTCACCTACCTATTATTTCCGATCGAAGGCCTCGTGTATGTAATTTATAGAAAGCTCTGCAACACCAGAGTTTGAAAGTGCCCACGATCAAAGAAAGCAGATTCAGGTTTCACCCATTGAGGGCATACATGTTGTGTTTCAGGTTGGTGAAACCTCTTGCCAGCACATATCACCGCTCACCATTTGTCGCATGTAGTGGGTCACACCTCTGCATCGATGCAATGTAGACTCTATTAATGAATACCCCCCCATATGAAGAGGTGATTTCAATCCAAACAGGGTGGGTGCATCTATCGCCCGAGATTGAGAGATTGGACGAGAGAGTCTCCCCGTTCCACACCGCTTCAAATCATGTAAACTGAATAACACAGAAGCAAACCCCAGAGGCTTTCACATGTTTTCAATGTGTGTGCACAATCCAATTGTGTTTTTAAGATTCTTTTAAAATTATCACTTGTTTGTTCGCACGTTTTCACGAGTTTTCAACAAGTTTTGCTGAGTCTTTGA